TTTCGAATACCTATATATCCAACAAAAAAAGGTTTTTTTGAAATCGGTCGGATAATAACGATTTTACAGGGGTGGTAAGTCCTTAAGGTGGACACACTGTATATTGAAGAGTATATACTCAATTTATACCTTGTAGCAGTTTTAACTTCCATAAGGACGACTATACATGAAAATGTCGAATTCATGATGTTGAACCATATATAAGTATTATAGGGGTATTCTCTGAGAAATGAACTGAATATACAGGGTGTCTCGAAATTACATAGACAGATTTCTACCACAGATTCTAGGATCAAAAATATTAAAAATGCTCAAAACAAAATTCATCTAAAAAGGGTACCAGAAATGTCCCCCTGAGGGGTACGAGAGGCCTCTAGCTCAGTTATTTTTGAACCGATTGCAAAATTTTGAATATCATCTAAAATAATTTTCGATAGAGTTCTTTTCCGCTACATCAGAAAATGCATGGTGCTCGGAACAAACGATCTACAGGGTACTATTAAATTTTTTTAAATGGAACAACCTATTCTTCATTGTATTTTTCGATTCTCCCTGATGAGCTGATTTCATTAATGCATCACACTTGGGGTCTAGCGAAAATGATTACAGAGATATGGGGTGTTCAAAATCGAGAATTTTCAACTTTAGGATTTTTCTGTGACGAAACTATTCATTATCGGTTAAAACGGCTCTCATGTCCGTATCTCAACTTTTGATTCACTATCTACTGACATTTAGTAATTGGAACAGATACAGCAGGGTGATCAGAATTCTGAATCTTGAACCACACTGTATATGTTCCAATTAAATATCAGTGAATAGTAAATCAAAAGTTGAGATAGGAACCTGAGAACCCTCTTGACCAATAATGAATAGTTTCGACACAAAAAAATCCAAAAGTTGAAAAATCTCGATTTTGAACACCCTATATCTCTGTAATGATTCGCGCTAGACCCCAAGTGTGATGCATTGATGTTATCAGCTCTTCAGGGAGAATCTAAAAATACAATGAAATACAGGGTGTTCCTTTGAAAAAATCAAGTAGTACTCTGTAGATCGTTTGTTCCGAGCACCCTGTATTTTCTGATGCAACGGAAAAAAAAATCTGAAAAATCATTTCAGATGATGTCTCAAATTTTCAAATCGGTTGAAAAATAAGTGAGCTAGAGGGGGGGACATTTATGGTGAATCACCCTGTACATGTATTATTCCGAAATTTTGATCAGGGGCGTGAGAAATAGATATGGCTAGGGCCACTTTTTACCCCAATTTGACAAAACAATATGGAAATCTCAACATTTTTACTTTAACATCATTTAGCATTTTCGAGATGAATCGTTTTTCGAATTCTGGTGCGTAATAAAAATAGTGATTTTTCAGGGTAGATACAAAATTTTTCGAAAATTATATTTCTTTGGAAAACTTCCAAAAATTGCATGAGAAAAGAAGGTGGGGTAAAGAAGTGGAACTAGCATCAAAGGTTCGGAAAATTCTTAAAATTTTCGAATGGAGCATAAATAGTTAGGTGCATGTACAAAATTTGATTATTTATTCACAGAGTCATTTCTAGACCCATGTTAATTTGAACTTTATTTACTCAGGGCCTGATCAACCATTATAGGCTAATTAGGCTGCAGCCTAGAGCGCGAAGATCGGGAGGGCGCTGAAGTTAAAACAGGGAACATTGAGTTAAAAGGAAGACGATCTTTTACCTTTGATATACTATCGATTGTCTTAAAGTGCAGTTGAAAAGCCGGCAAATTATTTATGATACAGTAAACACAAAGTTTGGTTTTTATGGAAACTGAAATTATGAAAAGCAAAGCAACGGAGTTAAAACAACTATATGCCCCTGATTTAGAAGAAACCTCTGCAGAAGGATTTGCAAAAGCTAAAGTACTTTTGTATAAGTTAATTATCATTACTTAAATACTATAATCTTCAAATGAATCATTAATCAGTTGAAAATGTGTTTCACTTGTATGATGCAACTTGTAAACATGCCTAAAGTCGAAGCAACTTCACACACTAGACCCCACGTTCATGGTCAATGGCTGCAACAACGAAGTTGTCTATAGAAACAACTAAGCCAATACAAGTCATGCGGCCAAACACGTCATGGATTTAGTTTTCTACTTGGTAGCCTGCAGTCACTTGTCATGATTTTGGTCGGATAATGCGTGAGGTGCTTTGCCTTTTTGTACGTGGTGAGCTTAAACAAGCAATAACAAGCAATAACAAGTGTTATAAACGCCCTTTTAGTAACGAGTATTTTAAGCACGAGCGGAGCAGAGCGGAGCGAGTGTTTAATTAACGAGTGTCTAGAAGAGTTTATAAACGCGTTACATACTATGCTTTTTCTACGAACTCCGGAAATTACATCAACATATACCTGCTATTCCTGCTAACCTACAAAATAATTCGAAAGGAATTGGAATTGAGAACATAATACATGCAACTGCATGCAACCAGCGAGACACGTATAAGTGATATTGGTTGTAGATGTGTCCGGTCCATTGCTTACTAACCTTTGTTTCACGTTTATTCTCATGCTTAGCGCTGAATAAATAAATTGTTCTCAAAGATGGATGCTTCATTTTAACACTTCTTGGAGATATGCAAGTACCAGAACATTCTCTTCGATTTCACTTTCGTCTAACTTTTCGCATATATTTTAAATGAAGAATTCTGATACAAACGAATATCCTTTGAATAATTCTGATACACAATTTGAAAATAACAGTTGTCAGTTAATACAATTGACAGACCAGACATGTCTCAAATTACTGAAGCTGTGTTTAATGAACTGTGTTGCCATGGTAATGTGTTTAAGAAATCGTGTTGCCATGGTAACGTGTTTAATATATTGAATAAATCACAGATCGACAATCCGTGATTAATCGATCATTTAGCGTGGTACATATCCGTACGATAAATGCCATTTTAGTTATGTGACTAGAAAAAATGGTCTGCCACTCTTAGGTTGTATGTCGTTCAGATTAAAGGACAACGTTAGTTTCGCTTGCAAATTGATCTGATAACGTTTATAGGTAGTATGTACCATGTTGAAATTTTCACATTAGTAAACAAAGTCAAAACTAATATACCTACTACTTTTTAGGTCTCATTTGCCTATGGCGGTCAGAACTCTTGATCAGTCGCTGTATTTACTATTTTTGTTCCTATAGAATCTGTGGTTGAAATCTTTCTATGTAATTTCTGGACACCCTACAGGATAGGACACCTCAACTATATTCAATGAAAATCGAGTTATTCTTTACATTTAGTGAAATTCGACTAGATGCTTAGGGATCTCGAAGAGAAGAAAAGTTGCACAATTTCATGACTAACAAAATGCCGTTTTGAAATTTGGAATATACTCCCGAAGATTTTTGGAAAAAACCGAATATTCGCAATATCATTTTTATTTTTTGTCTGACAATTTGAATAGATGTAGCAAAACAATTTTACTACAAGAAGGTGTTATCAGATTTTCAAACCGATGTTTCGTCTTAGAGCTGTCATCATCAACCTTGTATTTTTGAATACGGCCATGGACTTTCTCATCATGGATTTCAAGAACTTTTAAAGGTATATCGCACTCATTCGAAAAATGTGTTTGTTTTGATTCATATTGAAAATCTATTCTCGGTCTCTCACTAACACATGCCATCAATATGAACTTTTCGGACGTTGATTTAAGGAGATCAAGAAATATCAAATTCCATACTTGAAAATCCAGGGCCGCATTTAAAAAATGAAGTTGATGATGGCAGCTCAAAGATATGAAAGGTCGGTTTGAAAATCTGATAAGACCGTCATGTAGAACAGAAAAAGTAGCAATAGGAATGTGTAATTTGTTTTGTCAAATCTATTCAAATAGAGTCAGAAAAAAATAAACATGAAATCGCAAATATTCGGATTTTTCCAAAATTCTTTCGAAGCTGAATTCACGTTCATCCTAGTGTTTAATTTGCATTAGTTTTGTGTCCTATGCCACTTGTCATAATATCGTGTCATTTAGGACAGTGACAAACGGCATTATTAATAAATTTTTTTCCGTGTCTCTAACCTTAGGTTGAATTAGACACGTTTTTGTCTGTTGATTTTTGGATTTTTTAGTGCGCTTCCTCAAGGGTACGGGATCCTTTGGTTTTTTCTGTTTGCAATTTAATATGGTTTTTATGAGCATCTTTGAGTGCTCGTCAAGTTTCCCTTCTGGGACTAGACATTTGATTCTATAAGCGCGCTTTCTTAGGGCACGGGGCCCTTCATATTTAATGAGAACCCGTTTATTCTCAACCCCTCTTTTCACCAACATAACGACGATATTATGATGATAGACATCGGCATCCAATTTAAAATATTGTTTCACCTCCATGTAAGTCAACTTTTGGTTTTTTATTATGTATATTTTCACATGCCTTTGCTTGTAGTAGATTCTAATAACGGCTGAAGATGGACTTTTGAAGCATGTCCCCTTAATTTGAATTAGGCAGCTCGGTGGTCGAGAGCGTGAAGGCGCTGAGTTCGTATGGGGACTCCCACCGAGACATAGGTTCGAATCCTAGTTAGGCCATGGATGTTTGTGTTTGTATGTATACCTAACCCCGCACAAGTTTCGACTTATGGGGCGTTTGGTCCCAGTGCTGGGACCAACGGGGTATGCAATTGCCAAAAAAAAAAAAATTGATTCAGATCAGTAGTGAAGTAGTGGAGATGACTTTGAGCTTTTCTACTTCCTTTTGAAAAATTCGACTTCACTTTGAGCAAACATGGACTTCTACCAGAGATACTTTCGAAGTATTCGGAATTTTTCAAATTTCAAAACGGTATTTTGTTAGGTATAGAATTGCGCAACCTCTGCCTCTATTTGACTCTATTTTCACTCACCCGGTAAATACAAAATGGTCGGGTAGAAATTTCTATGCATATCACGTCTTATGAGATATCCTACCCTGTATACAATGAAGGCACCCAAAAATAAGTTAGAAACTTACTATACATTCTTTCAATCCACTGTTTTGATGTTGCTTGTTGAAGATTCATAAAATAACTGAGTAAAATAATACTAATCATAGCTGCTAATTAGTTGACCAATTTTTGCAATTAATTATTAATGAGTTCATATGAAAATATAAGACGCTCGATGCAAGTGTTAGCGGATTGTTTAGTTCACATATTTTCCAATTAATTCAGCACTTTTTTCGTGTTTATTCAAGGGTACCTACCTGTTAGGAAAAATATTTCGAATTTTATTCTAGTATGTTGCTTATGAACATAATTATATTCAGATTCAACACTGGGTGTTCCACGGATGTCGTGGTGCGAAGCCTCAACTCGTCGGGATGATCTCGCGGGGACTGCCATGGGAGGTACAATTGTTGATATTTCAGAAGAGCATCGTCCATGAAAATATCTATAAAAAAGAGCCAGATCGCCAACTGTTCTATGGTGTTCCAGAGAAGTGGGTGAGTTGTGAGCGAACCATCACCCACGAGACGAATTGCCTTTTTTTGGACAGAATCCAACAGTTTCATACGAAGGCGTAGAAGGGTCACAAGCAATTTTTTTTTGGAATCCCGACTTTAATCTCGGGCGCCCGACTTTAATCTCGGGCGCTCGACTTTAATCTCGGACGCTCGACTTTAATCTCGGACGCCCGATTTTAATCTCGGGCGCTCGACTTTAATCTCGGACGCTCGACTTTAATCTCGGGCGCCCAACTTTAACCTCTGGCGCCCGATTTTAATCTCGGGCGCTCGACTTTAATCTCGAGCGCCCGACTTTAATCTCGGGCGCTCGACTTTAATCTCGGGCGCCCGACTTTAATCTCGGGCGCTCGACTTTAATCTCGGGATCCTGACTTTAAAGTCGGACCCCCGACTTTAATCTCGGGATCCCGACTTTAAAGTCGGGGGTCTCACCTGTACAGGATGTCTCTTTATATTTTGTGGAAGTTTTAGGGTTTCATCTGTACAATCTTTTTGCACCCTTTGATCAAACAAATGCGAATCGCGAAATGATAAAAGAGAGTATGATGGAACCTTTATCACAGAAATTTTGTGAATGTATGTACATCAGAAAGTTACTCTTTATACGTACCTACCTATATATATGTACATACAATAATTTTACATCCATTGGATGATCATCACATCAGGATCAATCGAAAACCTCCTTTATGGATGTACACTGAATGTCAAATAATAGATCACACCTGTACGATCATTATCGTACGTACAGGGTGATTGTTAATATTTTACTCAATAGCTGAGAATCTCATTGATGAATAGATACATAAAAAATTGAGAGAATCGGAGTTGTTCATAGTCATATAGAATTTTTTTTAAGTATAATGTCTATATGCCTTTAACATACAAAACATACAGTCGGGCCCCCGACTTTAATCTCGAGATCTCGACATTAAAGTCGAAGACACTAGGTTCATTACCTAACCGTGAAAGGTGCACTAACTGCGCAGTCAATGTCTGTCATGGTTCACATTTTGATCCTGATTCTAAATCACTATACTTATTCATAACTCTATAATATTTTTTTTTCCAATTTTTACTCATTCAACAGCGGTTCTAGAGGGTTTTGAAATTTGATTACTTATAGAAGGACTTCATGGATAAGTCCGAAACGGGTGATCTCATCTGTGCCCATATTCTATCATATATCATTGAATTCGTCTTTCTCAGCTCTATCCAAGGATGGAATTAAATATAGGTTGTTCCATTCGAAAATTCCGAGAAAATGATCGATTTGCAAAATACGTCATCACTTTTGGTAAATTCAAATATCCTTAATATTGACAAAATATTGATATAACATATATAATTTGTTTATTCATGATGAAAACTGCGCATCGAAAACTTGATTCTCAACGTTTTCATAAGGCTTTCAAATTTGGCTATTTATTGAAGAAGATTATGGAAATAGTCCGAAACGGGTGATCTCATACCCATGTTATCATATATCATTGAACTCATCTTTCTGAGCTCTACCCAAGGACGGAATGGAATTTACGTTACCTATTCCATTTGTGAAAATATATGTTTTGTATGTCGAAGTCTCGGTCAAAGTCATATAGACATTATACAAAAAAAAAATGCTATATGACTATGAACAACTCCGATTCTCCCATTTTTTTTGTATCTATTCAACAATGAGATTCTAGGCTATTGAGTAAAATATAAGCAATCACCCTGTACGTACGATAATGATCGAACAGGTGTGATCCATTATTTGACATTCAGTGTACATCCAAAAAGGAGATTTTCGATTGATCCTGTGATGAATTATTGTATGTACATATCTTTTTTCATTTCGCGATTCGCATTTGTTTGCTCAAAGGGTTCAGAAAGATTGTACAGATGAAACCCTACAACTCTCATATTTGAAGTTTTCTCCACTTCGTATAGTTGAAGATGTAGGTAGGGATCAAAATATAAAGAGACATTCTGTACAGATGAGACCCCCGACTTTAAAGTCGGGATCCCGAGATTGAAGTCGGGCGCCCGAGATTAAAGTCGGGCGCCCGAGATTATAGTCGGGCGCCCGAGATTAAAGTTGTGCGTCCGAGATTAAAGTCGGGCACCCGAGATTAAAGTCGGGATACCAAAAAAAAAATTACATGTGGCCCTTCTACGCCTTCGTAGTTTCAGGGTATGTTTGGGTGCTGCACTCCAAATATGGAAACAGTTTTCCAGGACAGGTCGGATCTGTGCCTTATAGATCATAAGCAGCTGACTGGAAGTGAAATAGCTCCTGGCCCGAACAATGGATCTCACTTGATTTTCCCAAAATACCAAGCATCGAAATGGATGTCTTCAAAGGTATGGTTACTCTTGATAAGCTTATGTTGGGCACAGTGACAGTGAGATCAGCTTTTCTAGAGAAAAGGCATGCTTGTGTTTTGTTTGCCTAACTAAAGTCGGAATTTTGTACTTTATTTAGCGTGATCTTATCCTAGTATTTTTCAAATTATATTTCGGTGTGAATTTTATTACTGAATACAACTCTAGCTTCAATTAAAATACGAAATTTTGTTCTCGGCGAAAAATTTTCCGGTAACAATTGAAGCTCTCGTATAAGAGATAATTTTTCTTATTGTTTGAAAAAGGGTATATTTCCATTATTTCCCCCATGAATTATGTTTTTATCTACCCTTAATATATATAGCTATCACGCCAAATCTAATTAATTGTGGTTCTCCACTGACCCCATCGGCATTCGACTGTTTTTTCCATACACCTGGCGAGCGTACGCGATGGGTTCTAATAACGGCTGAAGATGGACTTTTGAAGCATGTCCCCTTAATTGATTCAGATCAGTAATAAAGTATAGTGGAAATGACTTTGAGCTCTCCTACTTCCTTTTGAAAAATTCCACTTCACTTTGAGCAAACATGGACTTCTACCAGAGATTCTTTCGAAGTATTCGGAATTTTTCAAATTTCAAAACGGCATTTTGTTAGGTATAAAATTGCGCAACCTTTGCCTCTATTTGACTCTATTCTCACTCACCCGTTATATACAACATGGTCGGGTAGAAATTTATATGCATATCACGTCTTATGAGATATCCTACCCTGTATACAATGAAGGCACCCAAAAATAAGTTAGAAACTTACTATACATTCTTTCAATCCACTGTTTTGATGTTGCTTGTTGAAGATTCATAAAATAACTGAGTAAAATAATACTAATCATAGCTGCTATATTAGTTGACCATGTAACGATCTCAGGGTATATCATTTAAATTCCACAAATAAACGGTGCATTTCACAGTAATACAACATATAATGAACACTCGGTAATTACAACGACTGACAATGCGCAAATGACAGTGACATGAAATTATATGAATTGATTCGAAATTGATAAATCAATAGAAATTCTGGCCAGAATCCTTTACAAATTTAGATTGATGATTTCAAAATTTATATTCCTGAAGAATTCAATTAACTGACGTCTTGAAATGGACCTGGCTCTCTTTCGGAACTGCGTCTCTCTCTTAATACTGGATATTCAAATTAAAGTGTCTCCTACCTGCTCTCAGATGTACTCAATGTTATTTTCAAATTTGAACCATCCCAACCTTCCATATACGATTAGTATTCCGATGTTAGAGTATATACGTAAAGGATCAGGATCATCTACATTCCATCTATATTCCCATATATGGCTGGTACAATCAACCCAAGTTGATACAGTGGAAGCTCTCGTGTTGATATGTTCAATAAGGTTATTCTTGCTGATTTTCAAATCAGAATTCTTTAAAGAAAATAGGATTCTCTCTTTTACCAAAATCCCCTTTTCTTTTTTTTTTCCCTTTATTTATTAGTTTCTACCCTCTTCTTTTTGTCTCTCTTGACAACCCCTTCAATCTACCTTTTTGATACCGAGTGTTCATTCACAGAAACTAACGGACCATTGCATAGTCCCACCAAGTAATTTTGGTGAATTAATATAATTTTGTCAAAATTACTTAACATTACATAGTCCCACCAAACAATGACATGCAGTGAGACCGTAACATTTTCAAATTAAATTAAATCAAAATTAAGCATCTTCTACATATGCTTTCAAATTGATGATATTAAAAATTCCTCTAACACTATTATTATCATCAACAAACTCATAAGCATTATTGTCAAATACTTGTTTTATCCGATATGGACCTTCATATAGCAAGAACAATTTTTTTATTTCCTTGTCTTCTGTTGATGAAATATTATTTGCCTTTAACCACACCTTATCGTTAATTGAAAACATTGTTTCATTATTATGATTATGGCGTTGCTTTCTTTTTTCTGCCTTTGTTAGTAATTTTTCATGTGCTAATTGTAGTCTCACTTTCGTAGATGTATTATTTCTATCAGGAAATGTAATTATAGGTACTTCTCAAATATTCTTCAGTATCGATTCCTTTTTCCAACATAATTGGTGCGTACCCAGTACTTTCATGAACGGCTGCATTTATCCTAAGTTCTACTTTATGTATCATAGATGCCCATCTAGTATGTTTATCAAAACAATATGTTCTCAACA